TAGATGAGAGTCTGAAATCAGCCACTGTCTCAGTGGGCTCTCATTGATCCTACTCTTCCTATAGAATGTGACAGACTCCTAGTGTACCTTACTCCTTCATGCACTATTGAGTAGCTTTTCCCTTGACTGATTCATTTATGTATTAGTATTGAGTTATGAGCCAGTTATTTGGAAGTGATGAATATTAGAACAAAGAGTAATTGGCAAATTCTCTGGAAGCAATCTGATATTTACGTTTTTTATCAAACATCTATCGAATGTTAGCAGAAAGAGGTGTTTCCCTTGAGATGTAACGTTAGATTCTGTTTTACATTTCATAAGCCTTTTGTTCTAATAAAATATGACTCCCAGTAGTGAGTAAATATGCATTCATCCCTGAAAACTAGGGATATTTTTCTTCGGATTATAAGTCATAGAAGGTATTTTCAAGATAATGAAGTGCATGTCCTACTCTTATTTTAGTTAATTATGGCCCCAAAGTGTGAGAGTAGTGATGATGGCAATTTAGATATGCCCAAGAAAAGCTATAAAGTACTTCCTTGAAGTGAAAAGGTGACAGTGTAGTAAGAGTTTTGATGTTTATATTTTGAGATCACATTCACTTAACTTTTAATAAGTTGTAATTGTTCTATTTTACTAATTCTTTATTGTGCCTAATTAATAAATTAAAAATGTTATGTAGTTGTAGTACAAAAAATATTGTATAAACATATGGGATTTGGTACTGTCTAGTTTTAGGCATTCACTGGGGAACTTGGATATCCCCCAGGTAAGAGGGGATTACTGTAGGTACCAAATTAGAAGTTTGCTAGCATCTTTTTCTTTTGCTCTTCTGGGCCAGAACAGTGAATCTCATCATGCAACAATTTTTATTAACATGAAAAATTGAACACGTAGAGCCATTACACATGTGATATTATGATGAAAAATTGCATGAGTATAATGTAACCCACTTTTTAAAAGAAATGTGCATTATTTTGAATACTTTTAAAAGTTATATTCCTTTTACGTATTCCTTTTAGGCACCCAAACCATTTAAAGACAAGCTTGGAAAGTGATGTTGATTGTAATCCTCATTTTTATTTACTGGGTTTGATCACAAAGTAAAAGTAAAGCATGTTCTTGGTGACTTATTCACAGACTCTCAAGGAAATTACCAGATATATTTCACTGGAAGTAAAGTACTACACTGAAAAACTATCACTTCTGTATAGACTCTCTTTGGTGTTTATGTATTTTAAGTTTTGTTCATTGATCAACAGTAAATATTATTATTCACATGTAGTGAATGATAGTGTACAGTAACTCACTTATTTAGCTTTTAAGTTCTTCACAGTAAGTTTTATGTAAATTAGATAAGTGAATTAGAGTTTGCATATTTATTCTTAGGTGTATTTTTTTTTCCTCCTCATTCCTGTCAGATGGATAGTGGTTATAATACGCAGACCTGTGGAAGCAACATTATGGATACCATTGGGACAGAAAGTTACTGCAAAGAAAGTGATGCTCAAAGCTTTGAAGTTGAGAATAATCTCAAAGTTTTTAATACAAAGGTATGGAGAAAATACATATGGTTATAGGCTGGAAGTATTTGCTGTGACTTTTCAAATCTATTTTCCCTCATTTTGTTCAAAGTTAATTATCTGTGTCCCCATACTGTCCATTCATTAAGTGGCAGAAGGTGGTTTTTAAATCCAAACATTTCAGTTTCTTAACTTTCCCCATTATGAAGAGTATGACAGTATATAGGATAGGCAGAACTAGCTCTACTTACACCAGCAAGTGAAGTCAGGTTTAAAACACCTAAGGGCTATTTTCTTTAAAGAAATTGACTAGCCTTTAAAGATTTGGTTGTTCTGAGTAAAATAACACATTTTTTATTTTATATGAGATAAAGTGTTTATATGAAGGTGGTATACTTTAACTGAGCTTTCTTGATATGATAGTTTTAATTATATATTCATACTTGAAACCAATCATAATTTTAGGCACTTGATAGGACAGTCTTTTATTTTTATATGTCAGCTTATCACAATACAGTATTAACATTAGCAGTGAACAGCTATGCCTAACTCTTCAAGTGCAGTTTAACTGGAAGGCCACCTTTTCCTCTTCATTTTGTCATTCTGGTATATGTAGTATCAGAACAAGTCTCTTATATAAGATTTACTTGAACAAAGTTATGATAAATCCTTCCAATTTCAGGAGGCATAATTATAGTTATCCATCTAAATGTAAGCAGGCATTCCAATACAGAAGGGACTCTTTTTGATACAGAATGTTGATTTATTGAAACACACGTTTACTGTCCCTTTCTGCTAAGGAAATTTGCGTTTGGTTTTTAAGAACAGTTCACTTAATGGTTGCATCCTTGAATGGTCCTATTTAAACTGAAAACAGGTATTTTCTTCTTTTTCACAGGAAGACCACACATTACAGAGGTATTAGATGAAAACAGCAACTCCATCTCAGTACAGCACTACATAAAACACCTGTCAGAACCAGAGATTATTGCTGAATGGTTCCTTGTGTATTTTTATGCACGGGATCAATAAGTTGATAGTGATTGGGAGAAAACCGCTTCAAGAAACATTACTTTTTTCCTTTCCCTCCATAATGTGAAAAATCAAGGGCTTAATTTAGTGACACAGAAACAACAGGAAAGCTCCTAGAACTTCAAGTTGCTGAATTACAGTTTATTTTTGGTCAATAAATATTTTTGTACTTACCTTGAGTGATGTATTTAACAGTAAAAAATTGTGATAGAGCTGACGACTTGCTCCTATCCTGTAAGGGTCAATGCCTCATGGACAGCACTAAATTTAGCAATAGATCATGGGACAAATTTTTAAATTGAAGGCACTCTAGATTTTTATGCAAAAACTTGTGAACACACAAATGAATTTCAATTATGATCTATGTGAATGAAATCTTTAGATATAAAATTTATTGAAGTAGAAAGCAAGTTAAATGGGTTTTCCTAAAATTTTTATTCTTGAATTATTTGTTCATTTCTGTGGGGAAAATTCTTAATTCCAATCAAATCACTCTTAATAACTTTTAAAAAATGTAACAATTGGGAAGGTAGTACTAACAGTATCACAACATGTATTGCACTCTTGTGGGTAAATGTGAGATGTTAGAATAAAATATACCACCATTCTTAGGGCAAGAACACTCTTTCCAGTTCCAGTTTGGTTAAGAAGAGGACTAGAACATGGAAGAATCAGAGAAACATTAGAATTGGGGGACAGTAGAATTATTTTTGGCTTAAATTATAAATTTAATGGTTGGTTAAGTAGGTAAGTTAACTATAGCTATTTAAAAATATATTCATTTTGGGAGTAGATGGGCATATGTTTATAAAAATATTTTGAGATTTATATTACCAATCATTAAAAAGCTGTCTCATTCAAAAGAGAATAATTATTCTTAAGTAGCCCTAAGAAATAAAAACATATTATTGCATCATTTTCTTCCTTATTCTTCAAAAGTACTCCATAAGGTATCAGTTTATTGCTAACTCACAAAGAAAAAGTGCCTTCTTATGTCCTGGTTCATGGTCTTCATCAACATACTAACCATGAATGCCCATTAAGCCATGAGACCCATAGTTAAAGATAACATGATGGGAAGTCTAATCACACAGGCTTTAGATTCAATATAAATTTATTTAAAAACAACTGCTGTACATAAGAGTTCTGGGCCTTTAGTAGGAGCCTCTCTGGCAACTGTTTTTTAATAGCACAAGTCAAGAAATAAAGAACAAAGTAGTAATTATAACCTAGATTCAAATCCCTTTTGTCATTAACTGATATAGGTAGGTCATAAGCTTAACTTTTTCATCTGTTAAATGGGGACAGTACTCCTGTCTCTCAGAGCTTTTTCAATTTTAAGTGAAATACAGTCATGCCTCAGATATCAGTGCAGCACTAGTTCCAGGACCCTCTGTGGATATGGAATCTCTCATAAAATGGCAGTCTGCATATAATTTATGTACCTTCTATATATTTCAAGTCATCTCTATGTTACTTTATCTAATACAGTGTAAATAGTTGTTATATTGTTATCATTTTGGGAATAATGAGAAGAAAAAAGTCTCTACATGTTCAATAGATATTTTTTTTTTCCATAAATATTCAATCTTTTGATGTGGAACCCAGATAAATGGTAACTGTATTTCACCTAATCTCCTTTGCCTAAGTGCCACTAAAGAGGCTTTAGGAGAAAATAACAAGGTTTCTGGTTGTCTTTACTCAGTTGAGCCTAATGCCTCAAGTAGGCATAAGAAAACAAACTTGGAAAGAACAAGTGTAGTCTATTTTATCAAGAAGTGTGGCTTGCAGGCAAGTTTTAAATGGTTGGAGGAGGGAAATCAATGAATATGCTTTGTGACACATGAAATTTTATGAAACTTTCCATGTCCAATAAGCAAGGCTTTGTTGGAAAACAGCTGTGCTTATTTGTTCACCTATTGTCTATGGTTGCTTATGCATTGTAATAGTATCCAAGTTGAGTGTCACAGTTGTAGTTATAAGCCAACAAAGTCCAAAATGTTCTGGCCCTTTCAGAAAAGGCTTACTGACTCCTGCCCTAAGGTCAGGATGTAAATGATCCATTTACTTGAATAAAACTTCAAAGCTGACTTCCTTCAACTAACTGAAACAAATTCTGCCCCAATGAATAGATAATTTCCTCAGTAATTGGAAACTGAAAAGATCATTCAACCATTACTGAGTGCCTATATGATTGTAAATACTGTATTATACCCAATTGATTGATCTGCTAGTTTATTTGCCAGTCTTTTCAATGAAGTGCAAATTCCTTGAAGGTAGGAAGAGTTATGCTGTACCAGGTTTATCATCAGTCAAGCAAAGTACTTAATAAATTGCATAAGCAAAATTATTTAAGGCAACCCTTTCCAAAAATATTACTAAAAACACCATTTTAGTCATTAACAGTCTGTGATTAGCATGGGGAATAGTAAATGGGACACCAAGTAAGACAACTTATTTTTATTCGTTTTAATGTCCTTCATAAAAGCCCCCATCCTATATCATCTGATACAAATGTAATTTAAAAACCATTGTCTTTTTTATAAGCAGACATAGACATCTAAAGTACCACCCCTAACCTCAAATGCCTTATTCTGGAGAGACATTGAAGGTCAAGGATAATGATCACATATTACTTGGCAACAAAAAACTATTTTCCTAGTCACATCCTGTTTCTTGTCTTTTTACCAGTTTCCAAATATTCATGGCTGTTCAAGGATGGATGAAATGCAGGAGACTTTTTACTACACACTTAATCTAAATTAGGTAAATTAAAATGGCAAAGGTATTGTATATCAAACACTGACAGCTTTCAAGACTTAGAAAGGATTATTATTTGCTTCTAAAAATGTTCTATTTTCCTCTTTAGGAAAATGATAGATTTTTTTCCCTACCAATATTAAATAATCAAAGTACTTATGCAAAATTAATCTGCTTTTCAATGAGCAGATGACTGCTCAATTTAAATGATCTTTACAGATCTCTGAAGTTGCTATCCTGTCACTATTTCAGTGATGGATATTCAATTGAATTTTTCTGCATAAATAGTTCTGTTCAATCTAGAAATGAAGTAGTATAAGACAGATACAGTCAACAGTTCAATAAATATGCAAATTTCTAAAAGTATTAAAATGTACGTATTGGTAACAAACTATCACACACTTAGGCTTAGAAGTATTCTCAATTTTTTTTTTTTTTAAGGAAACTTGTCTTTCATTTTTTTTTTTGTTGAATGACTAGCTATTTTTCAAGTTTCTTCTTCTTTTTCTCTGGTTCATTAAGGTCGGCATTTGAAGAATCAGTAGGAATGCTTATTCCTGGTATCTAAAATAATGCAAAGAGAAAAGATGATTAGAAGCATGAAATAAGAAATAAATCTTACCATCATGTGACCCCTTCTCCCATTACTACTATGAATTTTAAAATGCTATGGGATAGGGAAGAAGGAGCTATAAAGATTTTTACACTAAAGGTATATGTACTTTACACACAAAATAATAGTGGTTTAGAAATGAAAATGGTAAACATGGTCTCACTAGCTAAAAAGCTAGTCATTTGGGCAGTGTGTTTGAATGAATGCATGGCTTCCTCATGTCCAATTCACCCTAGTGGAGCTACTGTGATTGGTAGAGAGCATCAGAGATTTCAGGTGTGTTGTGGCTGGATGAAAGAATAATATCTTACAAAGATCTTAAGAAGCGTTAAGAAAGATTATCAAGTGAAACATACATGTGATCTTCAAAAGTGCAGTTTCTAAAACCCTTGCAGAAAAGGATTAGGCAGGAGAACTGAAAAGATCTTTGATTTTGGCAACAAGAACCTCAGGAGAATCTCAAGATGAATGAGGGAAATCAGCATATATTTGTATTCCACACTATTTACAGGATTCTCTTTAAATTAAACAGAAATAACTATTTCCCTCTCTTTTATAAACTATGTACTATTGTTCCATCATAATGCAGAAATTAGTAAATTTGGTCTCACCTGTGGTTCTACCAGGGCCATTCGGATTTTTTGATGCTGAAGATTAGATGAGTCTAACATGATTTTCACTTTCACTTTATCAAACACGTGGAACACTATGCCTTCTATTTTAAGTGATGGTATCTTAAAAAAATAAAACACATTTTATCATACTACCTTATTTCTTACACTTGAGGCTCCGTTCTAATTCTTTATAGTTTATCTCTCCTGATAACTTTAAAGTTTAAAAAGTATTTCAAATATTAATAAGCATCTAAGTGTTCAATATGATAAAAGTTACGAATCTAGTAATCTCAAATAAATATGACCTATTTTTATGCATACGTCCTTTCACTAAGGTGGTTCTAAAACATATTCATCAATTTCAGGATTATCACACTACTAATTAGCAAATTATAGTTCTAGTAAAGGAAACCAAAGTTCTTGGACACAAATTATTATTTAAATTTTCTCTCAAGAGTTGTAGTTGTATTTAGTTTAGGGAGACAAAGTGTGTGATATGAGTGACACTGGAAGAAGTTAGAAACGATTTTCCCCTGGGCATGGTGGCCCTTGCCTGTGGGAGGCTAAGACATACTGGGGGATAGTAAATTCAAGGTCAACTTCAGCAACTTAATGAGATACTCTCAATATAAAAACTAAAAAGGGGGTTTGGGCTGTCGCTCAGTGGTAGAGTGCTTGCCTTGCACACAGGAGGAACTGAGTTTGATCCTCAGGACCACATAAAAAATAAAGATACTGAATCCATCTACAACTAAAAACATTTTTAAACAATTAAGCAGGGCTGGAAACAGCTCAGTGGTAAAGAGCCTCTGGGTTCAATCCCCAGTATCCAAAAGACAAAAGCTTATGTGTACACAAAGGGTAAAACTTTACATACTATAGAAGAAAGAAGTCAATGACAACATTCCTATGCGGGAAGAGTTGTGAGTAAAATCATACTTTAGTCACTATAATAAAATGTAGATTTCCTGGCACATATTTAGATACACAATAAATTCTATAGGGTACAGAAAATAATTTCATACTTTACAGCTACCAATTGTGAACTGTCAAAAGAAAAAATGCCTCCCTCTCCAAGAAAACAAAATATTAAAATTACTGTACCTCATCGTCATAAATAAGATGTGGCTTTGGTTTGTCCTTTTCTTCAAAAAAAACTGTACCTTCTAAACCGTACTTTGGAATTAATACCACAATAGCATTCTTTCTTACAAACAGAATATAGGCCTCTTCACTTACTATTCCTTTGCTTTTGAAAAATAACTGTAAAATAACATACAACTTTTAATAAAAAAATTTTAAAATATTTTGAAATTTACAAAAATAATTTTGAAATTAAGTAAAAAATGTACAAAATTTTCTCCTAGCATCACTGACAGAAGGCAAGTACCTGGGTATGAAAAGCCACTGATGCACGTTGAGCATACTGAGCCATCTTGTGCCGGAAATTAAGATTTTTACATATATCAGCAAGCTTGTGTTTATCTGTCAACTCTGGATAAGTACAGTCAGCCCCAATAGCCACAGCCAACAGTCGATGAACAATGATGTCTGCATACCTAGATGTATAAAGAAGTAAGAACCATGGCAAATTATCATTAAAATGTCTTTTTAAAATTCAAAATTAACCATATATTACACATTCAACATATATTCATTAATCTCAGGATTCTCACCTTGCTAGTTATTAGCAAAAGTGCTGTTCTAATAGAGGAAGACAAAGTTAGCACAGATTATTGTCTAAATATTCTCAGAGTTGCAATTATATTAAGTTTAGAGTAGTAGAGAGTGAGTGTGCCAGATAAGAAATACTATAAGAAAAGAAAAATTTCCTTCCCTGAGTTATAAGCAGCCATTTATGTCTTTACCTATTCACCTAGGGTAAAACTTTACATGCTATAAAATAAATAAATCAGGACAACATAATTCTATAAGGAAAAAAATACCTTCTGATGGGAGAAGTAAAATGTGTGTATATTGGGGATGCTAAACCATAGTGATGAAAATCATTATCCATTCCAGAACAGAAGTATACAGCTTGCATCATACAGCGAGTGGCTAATATTCTCAACAGAGTATTTAGATATGGGAAAGCAGGAGATTCGGCCTGGTCCAAAGACTGCGCCAAAGACTTGGCTGTATCAGTTTTAATTTCCAAATTCTATGAATAGAAGGAACGGGGAAAGCACAATATGAAACATTTCTTAATCAGCAGTACTATGTCTTCAAAATATAAACAGAACAAACTTTTTTTTATTAAAAGATAATCCAGGTTTTAACCTTTTATCCCTTAGTTAGAAGTACTTAAAATAGCTGTGTACGTCGTGATTGTTTTGTACACCACCAAAGTTTAAAATTTCCTGAATGCATTTAAAAATACAAAAGTACCAAGACTATGACAAAGCTACAAGGGGAAAAAAAAAAGATTGTGATAGCAGTAGTTCTATTATTTCTCAAAGTCCAGTTTGTATTTGTGAATCTCTGTAGGAGTGAAGAAAATCAAAGCAGATCTGATACATTTCAGTATGTTTGGATTTCTCTCTGCAGATATTTTTCTTCCATTCAGAGTAGAGGTAAAGGTCAAAACACTGAACTTGTCAGTAAAGCCCAGTTAGTACAATGTTGTGATTTGAGGCATTTAGCTGCTTTACTCATATCTTGGGGAGCTGAAAAAAAATATATTAAAACTTCCTTCCTCTACCCAAATCTTAGGAATCAACAAACAATGAGAGGAAATCTTCTAACAAATACAGTAATCCTTGGAGCAGAAAAGTTGATTTGTTTTGTGGGACATGGTAAGGATAGGTACTTTTTAAAGGACTGAACCAAAATGAGAATCCTATACCATGCTATTAAAAATAATGTCTGTTATCTAAAGCCATTCCTTCCAACCTCTCTTCTACACAGAAAAAACAGGACCTAATAATGATCCAAGGAAAACCAATGTAAGGTAGAATTAACCCAAGGGTAAAGGAAAGCCTACTAACTAGAGACAGGATTTACGCAGGGCTGAAAAAATGATGTCCTTTCTATATTTTCCTCTTTTCCATGCATGAAATACATAGCATTCTATTACATACATGATAAAACAGTGCTTTTTGAAAGTTAAACAAATTATGTGTAAATCTCTAAAGTTAGGCAGTTCATAGAAACCATGTATAATGGACATGTATAACCATGTATGTGGGAAAGCTCTATATGTCCAGAATACTGCAAATAACTTGGTCTAGAACTTCTGACATTGGGTTAAGGAGAACTGAATGCTTCTTAAGACACTAAAAGATTTTATTAAGTAGATGTGAAGGTCAGTATAGGAAAATATGAGCAAATCTAAGAGCGAGCGAGCTTTTCTTTTTTTCTTCCCCATCATAAGAACTACTGGTATATTTTCACATCAAGAAATAACAAAATTTTATGGAAATGTGAATATGTGTGTATATTATTTATTTATTTGTTTACTTACTTATTTATTTTGTGGTGCTGGAGATTAAACCCAGGGTCTTGTGCATGCTAGGCAAGTGCTCTATCACTGAGCTACATTTCTAGCCTGAATATAAATTCTTTTGTGTAATGGATAGATAACAACCCAAATACAAATAATTTTTCAAACTACAGAACCTTACTTTGGACTTAGCTGCCTTAACAAGAATTTCATAATTTGATGGAGGTGGAGCAGGATGTTTTCGAAGCAAAGCATGTTCAGAAAATTCTTCATGAATTTTTTTTGCAACAGAGATATTAGCCAGTAACATGAATTCTTCCACCATGGAATTTGTTTCCCTGCCAATGGAAAAAGCATTAAACAAGAGAATCTGATACTTAAATATATCATACTTATTCACAAGTTACCTTTTTTATCAACAAGATAAAGGAAGCATTTCCTATGTAAACATTCACACATGTGCACATGTATATTTTTAACACCTTAGGGCTCTTTCACTTCTCAGCTACTATGCTAACAAAATTTTATTAGGCGTCTATAGAGTAAATCTAACTTGCCAAAGATTTTACAGATGGCATTCAAGAAAACTGAAACATTATGGACTTTATTAATATATATAAACTCTAAAATTTTCTACCTTTTACTTGGTCCAAAGAATCTATCAATAAATTACTAAATTGAAAAGAACATATTTATAATAACTAATCTGGGTTCTTATTATGGATCAGACATTGTGGTACATAGATATTTATAAATACATGCGCACGCGTGCGCGTGCACACACACACACTCACTCACACACACACACACACACAGACACCTGCTTTGCAGATTAGAAAATACAAGATATGCAACATTCTCTTGTTAAAAGTCAGTGTTATCAGTATGAAAATCTGAATCTACACAATCCAACTTCAAAACTCTTGACCAAGGTGAAATTGCTTTCATTCTACAGTTTTTCTATGTTCTTAGCTAGCTTTAATAAATGATCTTGCATTATTTTATATGCAAGTCACTGAACATGCAGTATTCTTTCATTCATGTTTCCCGTATTATATCTAATTTCTTGATGAAATGTCTAAATGTGATTAATTTTTTAAATTTAGAAAGATCTCCAATCATAAGGGGACAATCTCTTAGACATGAGATTTTCCTTCTTGGTAGGAAGAAATGATTGATATTCTACTCTGGTTCCACTTTTGGCAACCTTTTCCTCAAGAAAGCTTTAGTATTGGGTTCCTTATTGGTACTAACATTGGAAATATTCCTGCAGACATTTCCCCCTAGGGATTTTTTAATTCTAACTCTACTGCTCTATAGCACATTCTGTTCCTAAGTAAAAACTCTGAACATATTTCAATGTTTAACCCTTGGGTCACCTATTAGAAAAGTAAGTGTGTGTGTGCATGTACACATGTATGTTTAATTTCAGAATTACCTCATGTAAGACATGGAAAGAAGCATAAATTCTGACTTAACCAAATATATTATTGCTTCCTGAATCTTAACTAAATCAGTAACACAACATCAATAATTAATGTCCTATGAGGAAGTCCCATTGTTAATCATATTTTATAGAAAGAAATTAAGGCAGACAGAGGACAAATTACTTGTTGCAAGGTTACACGTATGGTAGCAGCAGAAGTGGGATCCAAACCTAGATAAGTTAGGCTTCAAAGCCCTTGGTCTTGAATACTATCTTGTCGTACCTTTATATATTTTACATTAAATACTTAAGTAATTAATCATGGCAAATCTTCTTTTATTTACTATAACTATTATGTGTCAAGTTCTATTATATCATATACCAAAAGCAAACTGAGTCAAATACTTCTATTCTAATATTTCAGTTTTATATCAGAAAAACCAAAAAGAGCTATAACACTTTTCTAAAGACTCCATAAGCCAAGAAAAATAAAATTCTAGTAGAAATACATATTTTGGATATGTTTTAGATATTAGTATATTAGATATATTAGTATATATCATTAGATATTTTATCTTAATTTTTAAGATAAAAATTTTATAAATCGCCCATCAAAAAAAATCACTTACCTAAGTTCCTTGGTTTGTAAGTCTATAGGATCATGAGTTTCACTGTCCATGTGGAATCGAATTTCTGGGGAAGAAAGAGTCAAAGCCCTAAATGAAAATTAAGAGGTAAATTAATCAAATGAGCCAATAATGGAGTAAATTCAGAAAGTGACTCCTTTAAAACAGAAAATGACTATATCATGTGAGGAAGAATTGTTCTTCTGAGGACTTTATAACCATTCTATGAGTTTTATGTTTTATTTTCATGAATAGCTTAGTATTTTATAGATATAAAATGAATTTAACAAGAGAGAATAGCAAAAGAGCAAAATCTGAGTCCTGTGCTTCTGAGAGTTTGTTTGTTTGCTTTGTAGTACTGGGGATTGAACTCAGGGACTCTCAACCACAGAGCAACATCTCCAGCTTTTCTGAGACAGGGTCTTGTTAAGTTGTCCAGGCTAGTTTCAAACTTTCAATTCTACTGTCTCAGCTTCTTAGAGTGGCTAGAGTGTACCACCATGCCCAGCTGAAGGATATAAATATCTTCTGTATCCAAACTCTACAGTTTTTACTGGGCTAAGTAAATTTGCCATTACATACAAATATAGAAAGTGACTAGCAGTATTTTATTTACTACAGAAAACAATGTATTAAAGTGGGGGACATTGAAGAGGGGCAAAAAGGACACTGCCATCATAGGCTAGTAACATCAGAAGATGCAGAATCAAAAGTATATTCCACATAGATTAGCCAACAGAGAAGAGACTGATAAACCACTACCACTGATATTACAAGGAATGATGGCTATAGACATTTGAGTGTTAGATGTCAGATAATGTACTATGTTAAGAGCTTTATATGCATGGTTCATTTAATAAGTTGGCACATTCTCTTTTGAGAAGTAAATTCTCAAGGCTACATATGAGAGTCTGATGTTTCATTATAACTGAAGCTATTTTCATCAAGTCAGCTCCAAATCTACCTAAAACTAAAAATTTTAATAAGGCCAAGCAATCTTGGATGTCCAAGGAAAAGGAAGAAAAAAAAACGTAAGATGAGATGGGGTTAAGTGAAATTCTTAAGTCCTTCTCTTCTTGACTCCTCTCATCTTTATTAGGAGCTCAGAAGAAATACCAGAAAGGGAAACTTAACAAATATTCTTTCCCATTTTCTTTTGTGCCATGCAGTACTTAATGAGGTTCTAATCAATCTAATACATGTTTATTAATACATCTTGACCTAAAAAGCAAGGAATACCAATCATATTTTGAATTTTTTCTTCATACAACATTTCTTCATAGAAATGTTAATTTCTACCCAAGAGTATTAATATTTTAGGCAGAAAAAGATGTCTATTATTATTATGATTTTTTTTTACTATTGTATTTTAAATTCTCCCTAAGATTGAGAAGACTTAATACTATCTTTTACCAGTAAATGACTGTCAACTTGAAAAAAAATAAAAGCTGTTTTTGAAGTTAAAAAATATCGTTCCTGAGCCAGGCATAGGAGTACAGGTGGGTCATGTAAACTCCCCAGAAAACTGAGAAATAAGGAAAAATAAGAATGGCTTAGCATAATCTTCTAGAACAAAACTGTCTAGTTTTGAACTTTCTTCATTGATGAAGATGTTCTTTATCCAAAAAAGGTAGTCACAAGTCACATGTGGCAACTGAACAGTGGAAATGTGGATGGTAAGACTAAGACATTTTATGAAATTTATTTGATTTTAATGAACTTAAAAAAATTGGGGGAGGGCAGGTACCGGGGATTAAAACCAAGGGAAGTTTACCACTGAGATACATCCTTGACCCTTTTTACTTTTTTAAACAGGGTCTCACTTAGGGCCTCATTAAATTGTTGAGGCTGGCTTTGAACTTGTGATTCTCCTTCCTTAGTGTGTGCCACTGTGCTCAGCTGAACTTAGGCACATTTTTATGAAACAGAGGAGATGCAGATTTGCATCATCAACAAAAACAGTTTTAGTAACTGCTTTTGACATTATCTTAAATGGTATGAAAGATCAATATCTGAAAATATCATGTATTTGGTTTCCACTGACAGCTGTCCTTCAAGAATCAAACTTATTTTTAACTGCTTTCCTTCAACAAGCTTGGGTTGATAGTCCTCACCTTAAACCTTTTGTAGTTAAAGAAATGTCATGATATAGGGCTAAAAGACCCTACTTGCCACTAGCTATCAGATCTTTGAGAAGAACTTACCCATGTAAATTTTAATCATTTAAAAAATAAAGGAGTTGGATTAAACAATTCAACTTCCAAATCAGAAAAAGTACAATGTGTGAGTATAACTCAAAAATACAATGAGTACTTTACCTATATTTATTTAAACATCTGAAAATCAATTTTCAATCTGAAAATTATTTCTCATTAAAACAGAAATAATCTGTAGAAGTCTTAAGAAGTTCTTGTCTTCATTGAATTTCTTCACAATCTTAAACTCCCAAACAAACATCAGTCTAGAATCAAGCTAATATTTAAGAGGTAACTAAAAGAAATGGGATGTCTCTACCAAGTCTCTATTAAGCCTATTAAATAGTTCATAACTGACCATCATAAAAAACTTTAAAGAGAACAAACATTATCTTAATACTATTAAAAATAAATTAAGAAATAGCTTGATATTTTTCAAACATACCCTTTTTCAATTCTTCCTTTTTTCAGAATTTTAGCTAGTTTATTTAGTCCACGGAGACTAATGGTAATATCATCATTCACGGTTGCTGAATCAATTCTCATTTGAGCTTCAGCGTAAGTAAGAGAAGCCTAAAAAAGAAACCTTATAATTCTTAAAAATGATAAAAACTAATTTATTATTTAAATATATTATTTTGTCTCATATTTAAATTAAATAAAGATCCATGACTCAAAAAAACCTAAATCAATAACAAGAAAATAATCACAGCTAATATTTATGCTTCACATCTATGATTTCTGGTTAATTAACTCTTATTTGAATTATTATACAACATAAGCAAACTTTTATTAAAACAAAGTAAACATGGCAACATTGTTAATAAATTATTTAAACTTTACTTCATAATTAAGTTGATACATATTTAGGTAATGCTACAATAAAACAAAGGCAGGTTAGATCTATTCACTGAAATCCTTTCCAGATGTTCATTATTCCCTGACTCATGGCAAATAATTAACAATGCTGTAAGAGTCTAGACCTCATATTTTACAGGCAATCTAAAATGCTAAAATTAAGTGCCTAAAAATGGGACAAATCATAGTAGAAAAAATTTTTATCTCTAATTATAGATAATACAAATGTACAAATAGCTATTTCTTGTTTCTATTTCCCTCCTGATGGAAAGCTAATCTTTCTTAGCTTATTAAAAAAATTTGCTTCATAAGTAAAAATGAGAAACCACGTAAGAAAGTGAAAACCAGTTTATTTTGTAAGGGCTGAGTTCTCCTTCTAAAAAATGTTTTTTATGTTCTCTAAATTCATAATATAATTTTGTCACACTGATCAAATTTAGGAGAATTATTTATTTATTATAATAAAAAATATAAAAAATAAAATGTTGGGAAAGCTTAAATAATTTACACAATTCTATTTGTCAGTTTAACACTGCCTTTTTTCCAACCACTAATTTCCAGAACAAAAAAGAATGATACTAAATGGAAAGAAAAAAAAAGGTAATTTTGGAAAACATGTCACTAGAAGGAAACAAGTTTGGCAAACATTGGGGGGATATTGGGGACAAAATGAGGGAGAATATAATGGACCTGGGAAATTTAAAAAAAAAAAAAAAAAAGGTAAGGAATGAGGACAATCTGGCTCCATCTGTCTGAACATGATCTCAGGTTAGTTCGATTGGAATACAAGTATAATATATAACATCACTTCTATGAGAAAATGTGTACAAGATGATGATGTCCCTGCTATTTCTCAAAACATTATTTTTAATAGGAACAACTTTAATTACTGGAATCTCTGATTTAGGGCGTAAGATAATATATTTAGTGTTCTTAAGTATATAGGCTTTGTATGTTTCTGAATGTAAAACAACTTCCACAAAAACTATTTTTTTAATAACATCAAGAATTAAGCAAATAGGGCTGGGAATATAGCTCAGTTGGTAGAGTGCTTCCCTTGCATCTACAAATTCCTTGGTTCAAACCCCACAAAAAAAAAAAGGAAAAACAAAAAAAAGCAGCAGCAAATAAATGAAAAACAAGAATTTGTTAAAACACTGAAAAAAATTTAACTTTATAACCTTTCAAAACAATCTAGGAAACTTGTAAAAGTATCCAAGATTTTAAACATTAGATGTGAGCAGTGAAACTAACCTTTGAATTAATTACACTTTTGGTAAATCTCGTTTTTAAAATTTCAGCATTGTGATTCATTTCCCAAATACATGAAAATGCCAGCCTATGGAGGGAGACAGACAATGATTGTTAATGGGAGTCAGTTAAAATAGTATATACATTTTTGATGAAAAAAATGCATAAATACCTGTCAACATTACACCTTAAGGAACATAAGTTAGAGCTAAGCAACTCTGGAACCATGTCAATCCTCTGTAAAAGATATAAGTAGATTCTCAGGTTACACAGCTTTTTATTTAGAGCTCTATTATCAATCAGCATTAAGACACCATGAGGAGAAAAGGAGACCTCTGGTCTTTTTTCTAGAATTAAGAAATGTCAAATGGAAAGTCTATTTGAAAGAAAACTGGACCTCAAGACTGTAGATCTAAATGTTGCACACTAGCCACATAGCTGACCTGTGAAAGTTTCAAGTCTTTGGTCTTTTTAAGTTGGTATTTATATGGAGTAGACACAAGCTACCAACTCTATGACTGGCAATGCTTGACAACAAACTACATTGTGTTTTACAAACACACACACAAAAAGAGATAGATTAAATTTGTATGGAAAAAAGGTACGGGGAGGTCTTTGACCACAAATCTAGACTAAGTGTAATCTTGCCCTCCCTTTCACAATCGTTCCATAAGTTTACAGGAACCATACTTGAAGAAGAATAAATGCTACACAACAATTTATATCAACTACATCTACTTTGGGCTACCGAATAACAAAAAATTGGAATATTTTCAGTAATTTAGGCCCCCTTATTCCATTTCCTATAGATAAGTTATATACTATTTCAAACTGATTTTTCAGGAATCTGAAAGTGCCACTGAGTGTTCAGAGACTCTAAATTCAATACATTTACCTTTTCACAAAGATAAACCGTTGTTCCTCTCCTGGCTGATTCTTGATCTAAGGCATTTCCTGGCCTAATAAAATGGCTAACATCTGCAATATGAACACCAACCTTCAAAAGATAAAAAGATGTCAATATGTATTATTAATAGGGTAGAGATTGAATGAGAAGAAACTTAAATTGAATAAGAACTCAGTCACATCTACCATTTCAACCTCCTGATACATGCCTATTAGCTTCTGTAACTATAACTTCATAAGAATAATTCATAAATTCTATCCTGAGTCCAAAGAATTATATTTAGTTAAGAATGTTACCACTAGTACAACATGAATACCTCCAAGTTTCCATTTTTGAGTTCTCTACAATGTAGAGCATCATCTATATCAGTACATCCTGGTGGGTCCACACTACACACACACAGATGCCTCAGGTCTTCCCGGTTTTTCATGTCCTAGAACATACAATATTATAAATGAATAAATAAGTAAATAAGTAAATAAATTCCATAGTATAAATGCAAAACAACCCTTGTAAAATCAGTATCTCCCATTAAGAATAACTTAGCTTTAATTTAGTGAATTCTTTCAACTTACTTTTTCAGTAATGCTCCAGGGCATCTTTGGCAGAAAGCTAAGAACAGCCTGGGAAAAGGGCTGATGAGGAACATCATGCTCAAGTAATAAAACTTCTGTTTCCGTCTCCTTCTCTCCAACATCACCTAAATTTTTTACAAAGTGTCCCTAAAACCAAAAGGTGTTATTAGAAAGGCCTATTTTACTGCTATCTTGCATTTTTATGATGTTAAATTCTTTAGTATTTTACATATCACCTCAGTATTCTTAATTTTCCTATAGTAACTTCTTAAAAATGAAACTCTGGTAAATTAAAACTGAAAATGACAAGACTTCTCAACTGATTTATGATGGAAACTTCATGAGGGCCCACTTTTTCTATCATAGAACATGTTTCCTATTTATAAGTTTAAAATGTGCTTCAAAAGCAAGTTTCTAAATTTGATTAAAATCTATTCGGACTAAAACACTTTTTTCATGTACACAATCACTAAAAGTTATTTGGTAATTTGGATAAAAGTAACTACATGATTTCCACCAGAATTTCATAAAATTGATCTTGAAATCAGAAATGCTACTTACCAGGTAACTTGTTGAAATGTTCCTAAATTTCTTTCTTTTTTTTAAAAAAAAAAAATTTTTTTTGTAGTTGTAGATGGATAGAATGCCTTTATTTTATTACTTTTTAAATTTTTATGTGTTGCTGAGGATTGGACCCAGTGTGTCACACATGCTAGGCAAGTGTTCTGCCACTGAGCTACAGCCCAAGACCCTAAATTTCTATCCTATATAAAAATAGATTCGATTTTCATGACAAGAAACAATATTACTCACAAATTGTTGATTAAATATCATACGATAAAATTAATACTTTAAGCTTACATTTGGATATCTGGAATTTCTGGGCCAACCATCAATAGCAACAATAATTCTCCGTCCTTCTAATGTAGAAGCCTGTCTTGTTTCTATCCGAATTCGAGGGATTCTCTTATCAGCTGGTGTAAAGAGATGTCTTCTAGACTAGAGAAAATTATGGAAAAAGTTTGTTCATTTGTTTGTAGTGCCAAACATTAACCCCAGAAATGTGCTGCATGATAAGGAATTACTCTCTCCACTGAGCTACACCCTAAGTCCCAGAAAAAGATTTTATATACACACCCATACTCTGGGAATAGGGAAAAAGTGAAGTCTCTAAATCCTACTAAATGTTTATAACTTTTTAATAGTTAACATGCCCTTTACTTACCTCCTTAATATCAGACTTGGAAAGCATGCCACAATATGGTCTCCAATTCCTTTTTATTATTCCTACAACTCTACCTGTAGGCTTTAACATTTTTTCATTTACAGCAGTCTTAAGCTGAGATATAAAAATGAAAACCTTCAGTTATTTTTCCTCTAGGCATAATGAGGTATTCTCTTCAAAATTAGCAAATGTACATGGATGCTAATACATTCAGGTAGTAAGTAAATTATGACATTAAACTACAGAATCTTTATGCTTCAAAATTCTAGATGGAGTATGCCAAAACAAACTACAAAAACTGTTCCATGATAAGAAGACATACAGAAATGAATTTTTTAAAAAATGGATATATCAAAACTTATTCTTTTTAGGTTTTAATATGAGAATTTAGTGACCAAAACAAGTCTAGGAAGTATACACTAGGATTTTAGAACTAGTTCACACTAATTAGCTAAGGTATATGGTTATGATGACTATTTCACGTTGAACTCATTAATTCACTAAAAAAGATACATCTTCAAATGGTCTTCCATATTCAAAATAAAAACTCAAGTAATGTCTATGATTTTAAATAGGTCTTCTTCTGGAATTTCACCTCTAACACTCTTGAAAGGCCTGAATTCACCAATGACAATGTTATAGTAAGACTCCAAAGAACTAAATATAACTGATGAGAATAGAAGAACTACAAATGTTGTATGTTTTTCCAATTATATTATTCTTATAATTATAAAATGGAAAATAAATAGGTCATATCAAGTAGACTTAGCTCCTAAGAAACAGTTGAACACATTCTCTTCCTAATAAATATGGTAGGGTACTAAAGATGAAAAAATTAAATAGGCAAGAACACAAGGCTCAGCAGCACATTATGCTGATGGAATTCGAACATTACATAAAACATTTCAGAAAATTTTAAATTTGTATTTACTTAAACATCATTATTTAAACCTTTAGATTGCATACTTGAATGTCAAAGATTCCAAGTTTTATTCCAAATTGATAGTCATTTTGTATTTAAGCCCATTTGAGTAAATTAAGACATTAAAACAAATTATATGATTCAAAAAACAAAAATTAACAATATAACATTTATTAAACTTACACAACAACTATAATTTCATTTAATAATTCTGAAAACAATGAAATTGTTTAACTTCCTCCAAAGCTGACATGTGAAACAATACTACAAAGTTATACAGGAAAAAAAAAATTCTTGATTTCATACCATTTGTTCTCTCTCCTCTTCTTTTTCCACATCGTCTTCATTTTGCCCTTCATCTTGTAAAACCACAGAAGATGGTGCCACCCACTGACTCTTAGGAAAAAGCTCAACAGCTACAATATCTTCATGAACAGCTCGATTTAAATGTTTAAGTCCTTGTAAGATTATCTGTTTAAAACAACAAATGGCAAATGCCCAGATATCTTAATGGAAAAAACAGAAAGGTTGTTTAATATGTTTCTCTATATTCTAAACATCTCTAGGTAATCTCTATGTCTTATAATGTTCCTTTGTCCCATACCTTTAATTTTTAAATATTAAGTAGAAAAAACACAGGTCAGAAAATAGGGTTGTGTTCATGATTCCAACATAACTTACAACAGTACCAAGAGACTTGGGACTGTTTCTTAAACTCTGAATCTCAGGGTTCTTACCAGTAAAATGAAAAAAGAATAACTTGTCATCTGCTTGGCTGAATATTAAATAAAATATTACATGCAAAGAGTAAGAAGAGTATCTGACAAACTGTGAGTACTCTAATAAATGGCTGATATTTGCATAAGTGTGGAAAGCACTCTATGTTATGCAAATAGTATTTATCATAACTGGTCATAATAAATAATATTATGTATCTCATTTTTATTATTTGATGGATTAGCTTATTATTCTCTTAAAATTGGATTAATAGTTTTCATCAATAATCAATTTCCTAAAGAAATGACTAATTACACTAGTTGTATTTATGACTTTCTTTAGATGATAAACTGGGAAGGCAAATTTGAACTCTCATACAAAATTTTAAATACTTATTCAATAAGAGAATGATCAAAAAATATCTCCATGTATAAGGAATTTATACTTGCCTCTTTATTTTCTTCAGTGTCTCCATGAATCCATACAGTAGCTTCTAAGTAATTTTCCCTGCTAGCTCTAAATGTTCCTTGAAGGTATATGCCAGATTTTATGCCTTGTTGTAGCTTACTTAGGGGAAGATGCTCTGAAAATATAATTTTCCCACTTTCTATTTCTTTCTGTGAAATAAGCAAACCAAAAATTGCAGTTAAGTTTTCCACTTGTTCAGTAAACAACTGTCATTAATATCAGGTAATTAAAGGAAAATTCACATTGTGGTATATACAACTTATTAGGGTTTGGATGAGATATCCCCCCAAATGCCTTTTGTTAATGCAGGAATGTTCAGAGGTAAAGTAATTCAACTGTAAGAGCTATAACCTAATCAGTCCAAACTAGTTTGAATAGACTGATTGGTGGTACCTGTGGACAGGTGGGCATGGCTAGAGAGGTGGGTCAATGGGGGTTGTCCTAACAGGGTTGTCTGTCCTGCAGGCTGTCTTCCCTTTTCTCTTTACCCCTTTCTGCTTCCTGGCTGCTACAAAATGAGCAGACTTACTCTACTGTGCCCCTTTAGCTGTGACATCCTGCATCACCAGGAGCCCAGAGCAATGGAGTTGGGAGTCTATGAACTGAGACCTCTGAAACCATGAGCCCCAAATAAACTCTTCCTCCTCTAAGTTGTTCTTACTGTGTATCTTGTTCACAGAGACAAAAAGATGACTAACACACAACTCTATGAATTTGAGACTATAGCCCAGTATTTCAGACGACTGCTACCCAAGACAACTTTTTGTGATAAAGGAAATATTCTTTTTGTGATGTTTAATATAGTAGCCACTAGGCACAAGTTTCTTTTGAACAACTGAAAGATGGATAGTACAATTAAATTTAATTAAATTTAAACACCCACATGCAACTAATGGCTACATATTAGACAGGGCAATCCTAAATCTATATTCCAACAATCAAGACTAGCTTTTATCTTTTCACTTCCTTTTAGTTTCATAAAGCAGCTGGTTAAAGACAAGCAGGAATGGAAAAATAGTTGTAAAGACTGGATGTATCAGCCAAGCATAGTGATACACTCATATAATTCCCATATAAGACATTTCAAAAATTACTGAACTCCAGAATAAATTGTGGGTCCTCATTATCTGGTCCCCTCTCCTTTTGTTTTATTTCTTCTTATGATATCCCTTCCTCTTCTGAGATCTTTACTGTCTGCTTTGTCTACCACTTCTTTATAAATAACCACTATGTATACACAAATCAGCCAAGGGCATCATTCATTTTTTCATTACAAAAAAAAGAAAGGGCTGGGGATGTGGCTCAGTAGCAGAGCGCTTGCCTCAAATATGTGAGGTGCTGGGTTTGATCCTCAGCACCACAAAAAAATAAACAAACAAAATATATTGTATCCATCTACATCTAAAAGAAAAATTAAAAAAAAAAAATAGAACCACCATGTGCCAGGCCCTATTTTAAAAAGTTTACATTTAGGAATTGCATTCCAATAAGCCTATTACAATCACTCTTGTTATATATAACACAACAAACAATTTTATTCAAATTCTAGCTTACTGACTCATATTCCAATTTTTAAATTTGGTAACTGTAAGTCTCATATCTCAAGGTGGCTATTTTAATATTTTAACTTTTCAAAAACAAACGAAATTGGCCAGGTGCAATGATATATGCCTATAATCCCAGTGGCTTGGGATTATAAAGCCAGTTTCAGCAAAAGTGAGGGCACTAAACAACTCAGTGAGACCCTGTCTCTAAATAATATACAAGACAGGGCTGGGGAGGTGGCTCAGTGGTTGAGTGCTCCTGAGTTCAATATCTGATACCAAACAAATAAAAAAACAAACAAACCAAACAGAAAAAATTGAAACATACCCCTTCTTCAGATAAACAAGCAAGACGATCTATGAGTTCAGGGTTAGCAGTGAGGCTCTTAACATATTCTTCACCTGAAAATTAAGTTGACATTGTTCTTAATTAATTCAAATGTCTTTTTCCCTTAGCTATGAAAGATCATGAAAAATCTTATTTCTGACACTGTCAATCTGAAATTAAAAATCAATCTTTTGATATGGTCCTGTCTCAGAAGCATCAGTATGTCCAGCATATTGCAAGTCGACTGCAAATAGTAAGGGAAAAATTAACAGCTAATGAACACAACAACTGACTTGACTTAAAAAAACTCTGAGAAATTAAAAAATGAATAAAAATATCACATGAAATTATATGGGATAGTGAAAATATTAAATAGTCAAGTGAACATCTGACCATAGGCCTGATCATAAATTTTTACATACCATTAATTATAAGCATGCAGTAATGGCTTCTACTTTTAGACTTACATGTGAAAGCTGGTATTCCTTCTTCAACAGCTTTCTCTTTGTTTTTTCTGTCATTGGTTATAAAGATAACTTGTAGCTGATTTTCTGCTGACATTTTCTTCAAATGTTCATTGTACCATTTTGCTGCTACTCGAATGGCTCTATCATTTCTGTCATTAGCATTTTCTCCCTGTTCTTGTTCTACATAGGTTTCTCTAAATGTAAAGAAAAGGGAAAACAAAATGAAGGAAATGAATAGAAACAAAGATGTAAAAACTATGAGGACACAAATGTTCAACCACTAAGCTGAAGTCAATAGTGCATCTACTTCATTTGGATGTTTAAACTTAGGCTTCAGAAAATCAACAAGATACTGGTATAATTTTTCTTTTTTTAACACTTACCTTCTAGTTGTAGTTGGACACAACACCTTTATTTTATTTATTTTTATGTGGTGCTGAGGATTGAACCCAGGGCCCCATATGTGCTATGCAGGCACTCAACCACTGAGCCACAACCCCAGCCCACACTGTTATAATTTTTTAATTAATTGTTTTATTTATATATGACAGTGGAATGCATTATATTTCTTATTATACATTTAGAGCACAGTTTTTCATATCTCTGGTTGTATACAAAATATATTCACAAAATATATTCGTGTCTTCATACATGTACTTTGGATAATGATGTCCATCACATTCCACCATCATTTCTAACCCCATGCCCCCTCTTCCTTTCCCACCCTTCTGCCCTATCTAGAGTTCCTCTATTCCTCCCATGCTCCCCCTCCCTAACCCACTATGCATCAGCCTCCTTATATCACAGAAAACAACCCCAGCCCACACTAGTATAATTCTTTAAAATATTTTTTATTAGTTGGTGATGGACCTTTACTTATTTATCTATTTATCTATCTATTTACTTATTTGTATGCGGTGCTTAGAATCAAACCCAGGGCCTCATACATGCTAGGCAAGCGTTCTACCACTGAGCCACAACCTCAGCTCCATGATTTTAAGACAACAATTTGCTTGTAATAGAAGAAAATTATACTATCAATGGGACAATTAAAAGGCTCAGAAAATTTTTTTTTACAAAAAGAAAAATTCAAGGCCAGAATTAATAATCTTAAGTTGGGACAGGGAATAATAGTTCACTACAATAAACTAATAAAACTTTGCAGATCTGATGAGATGTTATTCAAACTATACTACAAATAGTTTGATCTAATTTATGGTCATGTGATTCCAGTCATTAAATATATACTCTGAGTAAATTATCCATGTAAACACTTAATAAATGGTCAAGGATCCCTAAAGACTAAAAGAGCAGACAGAGATGATTGTATTTCTCTTCTAAGTCTTCCACTCTGAGCTCCCAAGTATATGAACACACTTATCTACTTCTTTAAATCTGTTCTTCAAAGTCATACTGAAGCATAACAATAAAATTCAGTATACTACTCTCTAGAGTTTAAAAATAATAAATTCAGTTTTAGGATTTTAGACTTATTTATATTGATAATTAATAGAATTATTTTATTCCCCACCATATACTTGCTAGTGCTTTAATCTAATCAATGAGCAACATGGTCATAAATTTGAATTTGGTTTTACTAAGACTTGAGTAATAAAATCTCAGATGTAATTTGCCTAGTGTCCTAAGAGTCTTCCCATCAATTCTAGCATTGTTAAGTCCTATTACAGCACTTGAGCTAACAAAATTGCTAACCACTGGTTAGAAACCAGATGAATATGTCCCACAAATACTTGGTCTTTTAGTACTAAAAGTAATGTTTCTGTTTCTGGATTTCAAAGAAGTGCAAGGACACAAGTCTATAGTGCTTTAGTGATAACCTTTATGAGAGAAATATTTAATTTGGGGATAAGAGAAATTTGAGAAATTAGATTTTTTTCAAATTTTTGCTTATTTTGTTGGTTTTTTTACTAGACTCTATATTTTAATGCAGTGGTTCTCAATCAGGGGTTGAATTTGTCCCTAGGGGCACTGGGCAATATTTGGAGACATTCTGAGTTGTTACAACATGGTGGTGGTGGTGGTAGGGGAATTGCTATTAGCAACTATCAAATAGAAGCAAAGGAGCTGCATCCTATAATGTATAAGACAGCCATACCACAATAAAATATTCAGTCCAAAATGTCAAAAGTATTGAGGCTAAGAAACTGTGATGAACCTAGTAAAAGTATCTCCTTTACAAAATTATATTTTATCATGCTATGTTGGTTATTCACACATTATGGTATTCCAGGAACCTATGCAAATCTCATCTTCAAAGAGTCCACTCACTGTTCAACTCAGGCTAAAACCAAATTGAAATAAATACATTTTGGAAGTAAAAGTAACTATTACAGGTTAAAAGCCAGTATATTCTAGTTTTGGGCTTGACCTCACTAATGCTAATGTGACCTTAGTGAGATCCACTCAGCATTATTTTCCACACAGCTGTGTAAGACCCAAATAGCACATAAAGGTTGATGATGGTTTTGACAACGTCACAAATTACTAACACGAATTTTCTATCACATTTAGCTAATTTTGTGAAATTTAACATAATTTTTTCTTACCTATGGTGCTCATTAGTGAATGTATAAAAATGCTTCTCCTGGTTATTAGTCACATCCCGGATTCTTTTATATACAGGAGCACTCCGATTTCTCACTTCTTGGAGAACCGTTTGTAGTACAATTACATTCCTGATGGCAGGGTCCTCAAGAACATCAATCTTTGAAAAATAAAAGTGTTAATTCTTCCTATATTCATTGATGAACTGTTTCGGTCAAACAACACCCTGTCGGTTTAAAAATACTGACTTTACATTAAGCCAAGGAATTATTTTGCTTTTTAAAAAAAAGTGACAAGCCACTCTCAACCCTTCAGGCCTAATTGAGAAGAGCACACGTAAACAGACCATTCACAAAACTTCGTAGAATTAAGGCTATTAATAAAGAAATACGTTGGCCCACATAGTTTTTTTGTTCGTAGGCACTTACAAGCTGCCTGGGGGTCGCAAGCTGGAAGCCTCAGAAGCCCAGGTCCCCGGCTTCCAGGCACTTATAATCTAAGGTAGAAGAGACACCAGGAGTTAGAAAATTAACGTGTCTAAAATAAGACTCCAAAACCGAAAAAAGGAAAAAATAAAGAAAAAGGCATAAGGAAAAGAACTTCAGCCTGGGAAAACGGAAGTGAGGGTCCCTAAGGGGCTTGCCTCTCCAAAGTACAAGGTACTGCCAAAGACCCTCCTCCCTGAGCCTCTGTTTCCTATCTGCCACGCCCCCTCGTCCTGGGAAGGCGGGCGATAAGCCCTTCGTGCTCCAGCCGACGCACCTGATGCAGTAAAACGTTGGTGTCGGGCAGCAAGTAGTGCGGCCGAGGCCAGAGACTGCTCGCGGGGTCCTGGGGCAGTGGTTCCAAAGCCGGTCCACCGTGCGCCCCGCCGCAGGCCGCGCACCCAGGCGCTCCGCAGCCTATGTCATCCCTCAGGTAGTGCTCGCGTACGATCTTCATGACGCCGCCCGCCCGGGTCTTTTTCAAGAACGTCTTGGATTTGAGCATCTTGCCTCGCGAAGTAGAATCCCGTCCCCACGCAGAATCCCAGCTCCCACAACACTCTTCCGGAGAAAGAAGCTTCAAACCACGAGCCCGGTCGCACGACTATACCTCACCCAGAGGTTCGCCGCTTCCCGCTCCGGGATATTAGTGCACATCTCTCGCGGGAAAACTCCGAGACAGACGCTAGTCGGCTGTCTAACGGCTGCGAGGATTGGACGAGAGCTCGAAGCTCCCGCAGAGGCCGCTTCCGCCCGTGACCTGGGCGGGGCTTGCCGCAGGACTCCAGCTCCCAGACTGCCTCGCTTCCCGCGCCCAGGGTACCTGGCTGGTCGGGTTCCGGTGTCGTGGGCCCTTGCACACCGCCTCTTCTTCCGTCCTCCTTTGCTCGCGGTGGTGGTTGTCTTGGTTACGGCGCCTAACGGTCCCCGGCGATTCCTTTTTGAGGGGTTGCACCCTGAGCTGCTGACTGAAGGAGCCTTCGGTTCCTGGAAGAGTCGGGGTGGTGGCAGGTCCACCCGTGCATGTGAAGTAATTGACGCTTTTGAGGTATCTTGCAATTGCCAGTTTCCCTTTCTTCCCTGAGTCGGGCAAGGAATTCTCCGAGGTTGCCAAGTTTGGGGCTTACTCATCACTCCAAATGGTCCGGGCAGTCTTGGGCTCTGAACCTTTGTAATTCAGAAGAGGATTTGCCTTTGATTTTTACCTTTCTTTACCCCCTTCCTTTTAAAGAGGAGGAAGGAGGCCGATCTTAGTGTTTCCCCTCTACACACCTCTTTTCCTAATCCGGCTTAGAAAACCTGAAATATACAATATCATAAATAATTTATTTTATCCTGTAATAGTTAAAAGATGAAAGTGGCTAAAAATTCTTGCAAAAAGGTAAGACGTTCTACTTAGAATTTTCTCTTCTATTAGTTCTACGAATTTTTCTCTTCTACTCTTGTTTTCATTCTGGGATCTAGCTTGTCTATCTAAAACGTTTTTTTCTCATTGTTTCCCCATTTAGAAACTCTTCAGCCTTGCTTCGTTGCCTGTAGAATAAAATCCGAACGCAATATGACATTTAAGTCAGCAGTCTTGATTTTTTAGGGTGCAAGGAGTAGGGGCGAATCACTGTTCAAATTCACGGATTTGCTAGAACTGCACTACCACTGTCTTCTGCTGCTGTTCACACTTCTTCCACCTCTATTCCCACCTAATGCCTGCATGATTTCCCTTTTATACTACTCCTGTCCAAATTCTTCAAAATTTTAAGTCCTATATCTGTATAATCTTACCTGACCAACTCAGAAGTGATTCTGTTAGAGGGACAGTTCTTCTCTTTGAGATTGTGCTGCTTTTAATGGGTGCATATTGGGGTACTAATGGACTTCATTTTGTACATCTGTTTGTTTCCTCAGAATAGGATTCTTGCCACAGGATTTTTTTTTTCATTTATTAATCAAAGAGCTGAATTCACAGTAGGATTTACTCTGTATTTGATTTAGCAGTAATTTACTGTAGTGCTCTGTCTTAAATTTGGGATCTAACAAATTGCTTAATTATTTGGGGAATTCTTAGTAAATCACTAATGCTCTCTACTTTCTATTAATGTTTTGGTATATTTAAATTTTTATTTGTTTTTAATCTACAGAAGATCAAATTAGGAAAGAAAACTGGCCCATAATAAAAGATGTCTCGAAAACTTCCTACGGAGCTCAAAAAAATAAATATCTCCAGTTCTCTGGAATCTGAAGATATTAGCTTAGAAACAACAATTCCTACAGATGATATTTCCTCGTCAGAAGAGCGAGAGGGTAAAATGAAAATAACCAGGCAGCTAATTCAACGCAAAGAACTACTTCATAATATTCAGTTACTGAAAATAGAACTATCCCAGAAAAATATGATGATTGACAATTTGAAAGTGGATTATCTTACAAAGGTAAGACTGGGTGTACATTTTGTTATTTACATTCTTTATCATCTTTAAAAATAAAAAAAAATTATGTATGTTATCTGAACTTAAAATGATACACTTATATTTCTTGTCCTGGACAGCCTTTTAATACTTTGAGTTTTGAATGATGGAGTGATTTAAATGTGAACAGAGATGAATTTTACTTCTGTAGGCTCTTTTTAAAATCTAGCAGTGTGAGTTTTATTTTCTTAGGTATAATTTCTACCTAAGTTGTTTCTGCTTCATTGACCATGATGTGACTAGTTGGATAGGAAGAGTCAAGATCATGATTGTATTATTGAATCTGTATTGTCCTTGTCCTAGAAATTGAATTCTTTGTTCTCTTTCTTTTGGTAGTTACTGAGACTTTCTGTTTAATAGTTACTATGTCATACAAGGAGTCATAAACTCATATACCATAGTCTTTATTAAGTGTTGTTTGCCATGCAAATAAGAATGTTCTAGTCCTTGGTTTTTGGCCCTTTCTGCTTATTTACAAGTTCAAAGTTGTTTGTGTAAGACCTGGTAAAGTTTTCCCTAGCCCTAGGAAATATACATTGATTTCAGAAAGATAAGAGACAGTTCTTTACTGTTACTATTTCTGTTTCCAAGAAAATCTTTTGTTTACAATGGTAAACCCTTCACCTTTGCTTCTGGTCCCAGCTCTTTCTACTCCTCCATTTTGTTGTTTCATTTATACCTTTCCTTGTTAATTCAGTCTTCCATTTTTAGTTCTTGTCTAGCTACACTAACATACTTTAGTGTCCTATCAGTAGAAATACTTCTTGACCATATGTCTGTAGTAAAATAAGGTGTCTCAAACCTTAAAATCTTGAAGAAATAGAGAAGTAATTTAGGTAAGCTTTTTCTAAAATTAATATTTTAAGTTTAATATTTAACACTTATTGAGTTTATTTTGTGCATAGACACTCTTCTAGGAGCTTTTTATTTGTGGTTTTATTTATGCCTCATAAATCCTTTGAAATATAGATTCTTTTGAGGGGATAGGGTCTTCTATAACCCATCTTATTAATGAGTCAATAAAATAAGTTAGACTAGTACTGTTACTTAGTGCCTTATAACATTTGAGCTGCTATAACAAAATCCCAGAGGCTAGGTAGTTTATAAACAATAGTAATATATTTTGCATAATTTGGGAAGCTGAAAAGTCCAAAATTAGAGTGTCCAGTGTAGTCCAGTTCTGTCCCTTTTCTGGGTTGCATACTTATTGCTGTGTCCTCAGGTGGCAAAAGGGTAAGCTAGCTTTCAGAGGTATCTTACAAGGGCACTCATCACTCATGGAGCTCCACCCATACAACCTAATCACCCCCCCTACAAAAACTCCACTTCTTAATAATGTCACAATAGTGATTACGTTTCAATATCTGAATTTGGGGTGCAGACACTAACACCTACTAAGCACACAGTATTGGTTGTTGTTATCCACTAAAATAGTATTCTCATTTTTTTTACCCCCTCTATGTAATATATATAACTGAACCCCATTTTTCTCTGGATGAAACAAAGCCACAGAGTGGTTAATACATACCCAAGGCCATTCAGATAAAAGTGGTAGAACTAGACAGGATTCAAATCCTAGGAAGTCTAAAGCCCATACTCCACTAAAGTGAATTTCCAAACACTTCCTTTTATCTACACAGACGCCTACCCTACTCTAGGTCGCTTGGTATGTTATCAGTGCATCCAGTGGTTTCCTGTCCTTAATACTTTAGTCCTATTGCTTTTACTTCAGATACACTCCCACAGTGCTATTGGCTCATATATTCCTCTCTCTCAAGATTTCCTTTAGTACACCTCATTGAAAAAGCCTGAGTTAATATCCCATTTATTAATCTATCCACTCAATCAACAAATATTTCATTAAGTGACAATTATACACCATATCCACAATTACATTTTATTTGGTTAATTCTTTTATTTGTTTTCAATTTATATTGTACTTGGTTTTAAATAGCTTTTCTTGTTTTGGGGTTTTTTTGTTGGGGGGGTTGTTTGGGGGTTTTGGGTTTTGTTTGTTTGTTTAATTTTGAGACAAGGTATTGCTAACGTGCTGAGACTGTCTTTGAACTTGTGATCTTCCTGTATCAGTCTTCCATACTCCTGGGATTGCAGGTATGGGCACTGTGCCCCTCAATTGCTCTTATTTTTTTTTTTTTTAATGTGTTACACTATAGAAATGGTGACTGATTCATGAGAGACTGTCTAGTTAACAGCCAAAATTTTAAATATACATAGTTAGGGATTCAGTTTCATCGTTACCAGTTTCCTGGGGCAAATTCCTTAACTTTTTCATTCCTTGATGTTCTGTAAAATTATAATAGTATTTACAACCCAGAATTGTCTTGAAGATTAAATTAATCAACGTATGTTAGCTCTTAGGCACCTGGTATATGATAAAAACACAATATGATTGTAAATAATGTAATTATCTGTAGCTTCATTATTGGGCACTATATTAATATTCTTGTGCCTCCACAATTCTTGATATAGTTTTTGGTGGTAGTTTTCTAGTTGGACTACAAATGTACAAGACTACGTTAGTTATATTCCTAAATGTATGACACGTAATAGTCATTAATCATAACAATTCATTGTTTTTAAAATATATTTACTTTTGTTTCAATATCTATCTATCTATCTATCTATTTTTGCAAATCAAGCCCAATGCCTTGCACATGCTAGACAAGCACTCCCCCTCTGAGCCACAACCCAGCCTTATTTAGCTATTTTAAAAATCATCTGAATTACTATACGCCCATCTGCTACTTAGCTTCTAACTCTTAACATAATTCTCTGTATGTACCAGTCCATTCACCCACAGTATGAAGCACACAGATTGCCTCCAACTTTTTGCTACCTCAGTGCATGATTTTCTTTCTTTATAGGATCTGAAAATAAGTAATTTAAGCCTGGTATGATTATTCTTTGACATTATTAGGAACCCAAGTGCCTTTTAATC